GTATTAACAAAATAACTTTAAAACATGTCATATTCTCTTGAAGCAGTATTTAAAACTAGGACTTCAAACAGTCCAAAAGGACTGTCCAAAGGAGAAATAGAAATAAAAATAAATTCTAACAAGCCTAAACTTGTCTTTAGCAATAGTAATAGTTGCTAGGATAATAGTAGCGGTAGTTAGTAATTTTTGAGTGCAGGGTTTCTATTTGTTAATACATGTTGAATTATTCGTTCTATTCAAATAAACATTTGAATTACAAAAAATGATAAAGATCTTGAAAATCTTCCTTGGACATACTGATTGAAAATTAACAAATACAGTTTTCCAAATACACCAGTAAAGAAGGACCTATTCATTTTTTGGATCTTTATTTACATAGTATGAGCAGAGAATCACAAAATAATCTTTTTTATAAACAGTTTGTTAAAGATTTGCATGATGTTTTTTCATAAACAAAGGATAATCAAGATTGTTAGAAGAAAGATTAGAAATTTTCATTGATAAATATAAAAATTCCAAATTTAATATCAACAGAGACAATTGATTCGTATCAAACTTGGATGTGCTTCTGATGCTCAGGACAAGCCTTCTGAAATCATTATCATGGGTAAGTAATAAATAAGTAATTAAATAATTAATAATTATCTTGAATTTTTAGATAACTAAAATTTTGTATTTACGTGGAACTTCATCATTGGAACAAGCAAATAACTGTATCATCAAGACACAAAATGAATTCGCTTCTCAAAAGAAAGCACAAAGTCATAATAAATATTTTCTTTGTCATAACTTCTTTTATTTAACTGGATGAGTCAGGCGGGTAATTAAAGACTCTCAACCATCAAGAATTCGTGCGCTTGGGAAATTTACAAAAAGGATATTGTTTATAAGTGCCTTTCTCCCCTCTTTTTTTCCTTTGTATTAATAATAATCCGACTTCTGCCATCTACCAGTTAAACTATTCCATTTTCGTACTAACGTCGCATCATAGTATTTCGCAAAATATTAATAATATATCAATAGGAAATTACATAGACATGCCCTTTTTCTGGGTAAAAAAAAATTAGAAGGTTAGGTATAGATGGTTAGAACTTTCGTAGGGTAATGAAAAACATGGTAAATAGGTAAAATTAAATATACCATCATAATCGTGTTATGCATGCAGCACAATCAATAACAGGTTAAACTGTTGCTTCGTCATTAACCAATATTTGTTACTGTTCAACTTCAATCTGGGGGATTTGACTTTGGCCTTCCGGATGCATAAATCCACAATAAATTTCAACTTTTCAGCTTCTTTGATATCAACAGTGAATGTCACTTCAACTATCCTGTCAGGAAAATCGTACAATTCAATACAATCACCTGCGGGTTTCTCGCCACCGCTTGTATATGGGAAGAACGCTGTAATAGAGTCGTCTATAAGTATTAGAATTTGGATTACCATCATCATATTCCGGTCCATATATGCTGTAATAATTAACTACATGGTTCCTTTCATCTACATCACCGTTATAAGTATTCAACCAAAAATTTAAATCAAGATCCAATTTTTCTCATTTTGAGAGCAAAAAGCTCATAGTATACGAGAAAAGTGGTTTAAAAGCATCCAACAATACTACTTTGCTGACTGTAATAGAACTTTGTACTAGTAGAAAAATTTACATTCCAACATATTTTTGTTTTTGTTTTTCTCAAGTCTCGAATCAGTCAAATTAGCAAGTCGATTAATTGCTTCAACCCAATTCCCCTTTATTGTACCAGTTTGCGGATTAAACTCCATGATATCCTTTACGTTAATCACCAAACGTTGTTTACCTTTATGCTTGACAATATGTTCGTTAACCAAACATGCATCAGGAGTTAAAGGTAAATGTTAATCGTTATTATAAAGCATCTAAATTGCTGCTACAAATCCAATTTTTATTGTAATTTTTTCTTTTCTTCCGGACCCGGTCACTTTACCGACACCCACTTTACCGACAAGACACTTTACCGACAACACACGACGTGATATTTTAGCATTTTGTTAGTTTGTTTGATTGTGTAGAGATTAAATGTAACCCCGAGTGTTGTCGGTAAAGTGTCTTGTCGGTAAAGTGTCTTGTCGGTAAAGTGGGTGTCGGTAAAGTGTCCCAGACCCATTTTCTTCTTTGGCAAATTTAGCAAATAAAGAAGAAGTTTGATCAACGGCTTTAATGTGTGGGCGAAAATTTTATTTTCAAGTTTAATAAGTATATATATGGAGTTCATAATTGAGTGTGAAATTCCTTTTGATTGGCTAATTCATTTTCATTTTCACAATTTTTAAATGAAATTTTTTTTTAAAAAATTTGATTTACATATTCAAACTTGGCAAGAAAGTTAGTTATATCAACAAACTATAATGGATGATAAAACCTCTCATCGACTGGTGTTAAATGAGTTTACATTATACGAGACAAAAACGGTAATAACAAAAATTGTTGCCATTATTATATTATAAATAATCACAATTCATTCAACATTTATTTATTTATTTATTTATTTAGAATTATTATCTAATTGGATCAAATCAAAGTGATAACAGATTTCGTATCTTAAAGATTGATCGGACAACTCCAACGGATCCAACAGCCATGCAATTGCGTATAATATATTAATATACGTAAAAAAAAAAAAAAAGAACGTTTTCCTGATGACTAGATTATAGTCCAAGATAAAATTGATACCAGGCACAATCAATTTTTGATGATCAACCAACTAAAAATTATACCATTTTTTCATATCTAAAGGAGAATTACTTCGATATTTACTAAGCATGCAAAATGGAAAGGAAGAATTGGCTTAATGGGGACACTCTAAGATAATATCAATAATATCAATATGGTTCTTCTTGCCGTTATCACGTGATAAAGGATCGACCATACAAATTTCAAATCCAATTCGTTCAATTTTACATATTAATATGTAAACTCGATAAGTTGGCCAAAATTTTCACCCCACTTTCTTAATATTTAAGTAATTTAATTCGATAAGTCGGTCATATGAGCTCACCCCCACATGACCGACTTATCGAGTTTACATATTAATATGTAATATGAAAAATTTGCGTGTAACACGTCACTTTGGGGAGGGGGTAACATAGTAAATTGTGCAACTTTGAGGCTTAATTCCTCCACAACAACATGGCATATCAACAAATGAAAGATGTAACTTTGTAAAGAAAGGTTTTAGCTTCAAAATTACATCTTGTTTTTTGGTCATGCATTTTAATTTTTGGAGACCAATGAAAGTTGTAGGGACTAGGTGTCCTGCACTGTAGTAGAAGTGGGTTACATTTGACCCCTGTAGTTACGCAATGTAATCAGTATTATTTGAAGATTAAATTATGATGTAAATATATAAATATTTTTATTTTGTTAATATTGTTATTAATTTAATATAGACAAGAATATAGATCAGACAGTGTGAATATAGTATGAGAAAAACATACATCATAATAAATAGATGTTCAGTGTTTTTGTTTCTTTTATCATCATATCTATTTGTCTTATTAACTCAATAGTAAATAAAATCAACATCCAAATTATATATAAATTATATAAATTATAAAATCATTATATTCTGTTTTGTCCTGATTTTATTTATTTAATAACAAATAAATTCATTTTTAATTTTAATTAATAATTTAAGCAACTAATGCACTTGCAGTTGAAGATTCACTATTAAAAAAAAATTGGTTAGAAAATGAGTTAAGGTCTAACATAATCAATCAATTATCAAAACAAAATAAGAGCCAAAATAAATTATTATCAATAAAATCATAAGGATACTATTTCCAATTTGGAGGAAGTTGACCAGCAAGTTTATAATATCTGGAGAGACGGTGAATCCTTGATT